ATTAAATTATGAAAGTTACATCTTACTCATAAAATTATCTCTTCCGCATTTTCTAACCGGCAAGAAATCAGCATTTCTCATATTAAACACTAATATAAACACCCGAGCAGTTTGCATGGCCTTATTCAGACGATGTTTTAATGCGATGGATTGAGCGGAAATCCCTGAAAATTTTCAAATATCTGTGGCCGTTATCTCGAGGACATCAACTTGCCAGGTTTTCTCTAAAAACGCAACGCTCTTCGCCACAAGAAATACGACAGCGGCCCACGCTGCCATCGCTCACGCGCGCTGCCGGAGCCGCAGCTCAGGAAGAAAAGGCACCATCCGAATTGAACGGCAAGAAAAGCCTAGTGATTTACATGGCATTTCTCTCTCGGAATCTGGGAATCTTCTGGAAACAAATGTACTTCCCGAGGCTATTTAGATTATATTAGCTTCATAACTTCGGCTTTTATTTTTGGGTAAATAGCTATTCGTGCACTTTGAGTCATAATTTTGCATTTATCTATTGTTGCTATTTCTGCATTATTATATTCTGTTCAGGCCTCTCTGAGAACAAACATTGGCAAAAAATGCATAGGTTTAATAAAAAATTATAAAAAATGTATAAACATTTTAATGATTGTATTATATTTAAAGTTTGAATATCACATTAAAGCAGTATTTAGAAGCCTGCATATTTAAGTGAAAGTAAGACTGTTAATTACGCGGCTATTATCACTTCATACTGTGCCAATTTTTATGTTTTAATAGGAAGTGTTGCAAAATTAATTGTATAACATATAGCACCTCCGTAAAATATCGATTTTACTTGAACGCCGAGGCTTTTAATCATCTCAAATGTGTCTCAGCCAGACAGTCTGTGACTTAGGTTTTCCCTTCTTCGATATTAATAACGATAATCCTGTTCAGCATAGTAGAAATGACAGTATATGTAAAAAATTGCGTGCTCGACTTGCGAAATTGCGTAATGGATAAAAGCAACTGTAGCACATAGCGTTTTCTCAATTTAATGTTGTACTTCTAATTTTTATATTTCAATCATCATCATTCAATCAACAATCATTCAGCGTTTTTATTTTTCCAAATGTTGGAATTTCATTGTTAAATCATTGGTCAAACGTTGTGGTTCCACATAGCCTTGTTTTCATCGATGTTCATTGAGCGATCAGCTACAAAGGGTGTGTCGCATTGTTTGAAATTCGTGCCTATAGAGATGAGCGAATTTTAATATGGGTATGTTGCATAGATGTTATCGGAATACATAAAGGCTTTTTCATATAGTTTGATTGTAGACCATAGAATGGGTTTATCAACTCCTACATAAGCCAGACGTTACCGCAATTTCGCAATCGATTATCACTATTTCCGTTATTCCTGTTCTCCAAGCAACCGTTATTAGTGAAAAGCTTTTAAATACACAATCAAAAAAGTCCAGCTTGAACCCACAATTTACATAGAACATGGAAATCCCATTTTACTATCGTTTCAAAGTTAAAAAAATCGTCTCTTAGATTAAATTAATTTACACACGACTTCTTGGAGAAAAATGACAAGAAACACTCAAATAAGGTTATCATATTTGACCGGCATAATAGTATAGGAGAGCGTCTCGACACTGCCGATATTCCTGCATCAGATGACCCTTACAATTAAGCCTGTGCTTGCAATAGGAAAATCATTACTTCTAAATTTGGAGGCTATAATGTAACAAGTGCCATACCTGAGACGCAACTGAATCTTCAATCACCATAAATATTCACAGTTCTCATGTATGCACTGTTTATTTTTACCTTATTAGAATTTTTGGCTTACGCAGCTACAGGAGTAATAATTATTAATGGTGTCTCTTTCGCGAGAAACAGACATATTTGCTTAATTTAGGAGTGGATTTTAGTAAACTAAAGATCTTTTTACATTACTATGCTATAATATTCTGGTTTGAGATATCTATAATTAACTTTTTTCTCACAGCTCGCAGCATAAACTCGAATTTGTAACTATAAGTCATCCAATGAAGTAATTAGAAAATTACTACTCGTTTTTATCTTCAACTTTAATACGTAGATACAACTAGGTTGAAGTAATAGCGCCATATTTTATATTTTAATATCATGAAAACCAAAATTCCAGTGCCAGGTGATGAATTTCGAAATGATGTTTGAGTTCACGCTAATCAAACTGAAACCACTTACAAAGTGCCAACAGACTGGGACTATAGTAAATAGATTTGTTAATTTTCCAATTACGTACAATATTTAATCGGAATTATAAAATGCCGAATTGGCGGAATAAAAGGACCAGTAGGGAATTAATTTTATCACAATTGAATTGCCTCATGTTGAAATGAAATGAGCAGACCCGCAAAAAATGTTATGAAAACATTGTAGTAAATTGGAACTGTAAGAGCTTGAGAGCACTTTCAAGATTAGCTCAGGCGCTCGTAACCTTACCTTGTCTTGCCTCAAAAGGACGTTTGTCAAACTGATGTTCAGGTTTTATTTCAAGTTAATTTCGCGGAGATGATTTCGATGAAACTCACTTAATTAAGCGCTAGGAATTGAGTGCAGTTCTCGTGGAATGATTATCCACTTGAATAATTTCAGAATTGGTTAGCTGAAATTCACCTGCAATCGTTGAAAAACTTCAGGAACTGAAAATTAAATAAGAAAATGTTCCGTTGACAGCCTTTTGACTGTTTATTTGATAGGAAGTAGTTTCTAATAATAGTATGCATTTGGCAGAAATATCTTTCCATCAACGCCATGGAGAAATTTACATGTGTTTTGCCGGAAATGCAAATTTGAATTATCGGAATAATCCATTCGCAATTGCAGCGAGCGTCTATTGTTGTAAATAAATTCGTCAGGGTGATGCAGTATATTGGAGGGCCATTGGACAAGTTCACTGCAGCAGCTGATTATCAAGCACTGCTGTTCAGGTAAACAGCTTGAGCAATGCCTTCACGGCAGTAAAGCGGCTGTGAAGGCTCTCAAACTGATTGCATCTAGAATTTATTCAAGATATTCTGCAGGAGCTTTTTTGACTTTACAAAAAATGCGGCGGTGAAGAGGATTATGGAGATGAATGTCCGTGGAATCTCATTGGGATCATGTCTGTGGCTCGTAAAAATAACGGAGAGAAGCTATTACCGGCCAAATCACTTCTGCTGCACATGGTGACTAAGTAAGGGTGAAGTGAAAATTTCGATGACTGGCAATGGGATGGAATTGAACTTTCAATTGAATTGAATTGGAGATCCGATTGAATTGAATTTTTATTGCAGTTAGGAATTTTCTCCGTTACTAAAATGATCTCGAAACTTTAATAAGTGATCCAACTGCACGACTTTGGAGTATGTGTACTTAAAATTTGCAGCAACGGATAAACTTCTACGGAGATAAGGATGCAGGTCATCAAATGTAGAGCAGCGGTTGCCTGTAATATTAGTCGCAGTTCGCTGCCTGGGATTACTTGCAGTTAGCTAGCTACAGAACACCATAGATGCAGGATACAGGCCTCAGATTCCCAAAGGCAGATAATAGTTATTATTGCGAATAATTATTTGCAGTGCTCCGGCTTAGGAACAAGAGCTGCAACGAACGGCTCGTGTCTTGCAGACTGTGGCTCAGGCACCGTAAATAAGGCTGCTGGTCCAGAAGTTGTGACGCGCACCATTAGTGAGCTCAGCAGGATTTGCTGCGCAGAGATATGCTTGTTAGGGCCGCTTTACGGCTCCTGCGATCCGGCAATCAGCCACTGACGGATGTTTTCTAAATCTCAAGCTTTGCATTCATTAATTTTTAAAACTAGTCAGAAAGTTCTGTCAAATTTTCTTCTTAATTGACTTCAACGCGCGCAAAACGGTTAATGTCAAAGTTGCTTCTACGAGGGGATAGGCTTCTTTCGTAACTAGCTTTTGAATTATAAAAAGCCAGAAAATTTATCAATTTTCATGATAACGTTAAAAATGCACGACCGGTAAAATTTTGGAAAATTTTGGAAGTTGCGAATCCGAATTTTCGACGCTATAAAAAATATGATTGAAATGCCAGCGAGTTTTTCAGTAATTTTTGAGAAGTGAATTCGGAGCAATTATGGTCAATGCTCGAAGTTTTAGCGTAAATATTTCTATAGAGCAAAAGGGCAAGACTGAAAATTTTTTTCTCGGTTTAGACATGACATGAACAATAGGTGTAATTATTTAAATGACACGAATATAAGGTAAGTTGCAAAGTTCAGATAATATATTTTACGTGCTAGGAGAACACAAAAGGAGGATAATTATCATTAAAAATGTCGCCGTGACCATAACTATATTAAATCTACAAAAAGCTGATGAAAATTTATTGTCATTCCATTTGTAAAATGTATCAAAGGCATTGTTCCCCACGTTCATTCTTTTTGTGCACCGAGGTAAACGAAACAACTGTAAAATTTTCGATGTGTAAGTATTGGTAGCCGAAAATAAATCAGATAGATGAACTGGGAATCAGTCTAGCATCGGTTATTAGTGTTTTGAAGATAAAGCAAGGAGCTGTAGGGTTTCAGAAAACAAATACACGTAACGTAACGATAATCTCTCTTACGTTTAAGTAAACTAAATTTTTTTACCTGCACAGGCAGGATCCTTTAGAGTAGTGAAATATTTATGAGATTTAGTCGTACAACTTCTGACGGTGAGTTATAGTTATACAGAAAACTGATTCAGAGGTAAATCGTCACTCTCCTAGAATATCGTTGTACGAATTACCAGAATTCCAACAAACTCGGAATATACATGCCATGAGAACAGAAAAACTGTACGATGAGGCTCTTTAGTAAACATTCATTGACGGAAGCGTGCAGAACATATACACTTAAGAGAAGGTGCTTCACCAACAGATCACAAAACATCGAACTGCTCACCATGGAGCTGCGAGACGAGTCACACGAGATAATCTTAAGCATTAAAAAGGCTCAAGATAACACGTAACAACAAATGCAAAACACGTTACCTCGTAGCGAACTTTCGACTGGGTTTTACTCCGTGGGACTCAAGTTCTTTTTCCAGTTGTCGTATTTTGAAACGTGCTCTGTCGAGCTCATACTTGACCCGGAGCATATGCGTCTGGCAGAGCGGATCGCGGCAGCGGTGGCGGCGCAGCTTGTCCGTTGCTTCGAACACAGCGCCTCGGAATGACAGAGACTTGCCCATACTCTGCAACATGGGGGGAGGGAGGGTGGATCATTCAGGGATAGTGCAGGTAAGGGTTGGTTTACGGGCAATTGTTCAGGGAGATGTTAGGGATAATTGTTCAATGATATGCTACTGGAAATTGTTTAGGGAATGTTACAAGCTAGTGTTCGTGGTTATGTTCAGGTGAGTTTTCGTTGTGATGTGACGGACAATTTTGTTCATTGTGATGCTCCAGGTAATTATTCATGTTGATTTGGCGAGCACTTGTTGGAAATAAGTTATAGATAAATTTGTCTGGGAGAGAGAATTGAAGAGCAATTTATAACACGACCTGTGATTTATAACATAATATACGAGTAAAAAATAACTCACTATATGTAACACAACTTACTCGTATGACATGACTTACGATTTATAACACAATATACGCCAAGACTTAGTGTTTATAACGCAATATATGTCAAGACTCAATTTTGGTAACAAAATGATTACGACTAATGTTTTCTATCACAATATATGCCGAGACTCACAAGGCTGATAAGGGCGCAACAGCCCCCCGAGTCCTTCTTAGCGAGATGCTTCCTGAGATACTTGAAGTAGACATGTTCGAGGACGAGCAGCAGCAGCGCGAGCACCACGCCCGACAGCAGCAGCAGGTAGGCGCTCAGGAACTGTTCCAGCGCCAGAGGTTCAGACGCTCTCTTGTAGGATTTCTTGGGGCGGCAGGCGCCGTGCAACCAGAACTTCTGGAGTCGTTCAATGTCACCTGCACCCACATTACAAGATAAACAATCAATATCATCTGCAATCACATTACAAGATAGACAATCAATATCATCTGCAATCACATTACAAGATAGACAATCAATATCATCTGCAATCACATTACAAAATAAACAATCAATATCATCTGCAATCACATTATAAATAAACAATCAATATCATCTGCAACCACATTACAAAATAAACAATCAATATCATCTGCAATCACATTACAAAATAAACAATCAATATCATCTGCAATCACATTACAAATAAACAATCAATATCATCTGCAACCACATTACAAAATAAACAATCAATATCATCTGCAATCCCAATACATAATAAAAATCAATATCACCTGCACTCACATTACAAAAAAAAAATCAATATCATCTGCATTCCTAATACACAATAAAAAAAGCAATTTCACCTGCACTCACTTCACCATAAAAAATCAATGTCAGTTGCGCTCACAAAACACAATTTTCAATAATTATAATTTGCCTTCAGAATACGCAATCAGTGTGACCATCATTCACAATGAACAATATACAATATCCCATGCACTCACACTACACGTATGATGTACACAGAGACGGCCAGAATTATTGTCTTGACATTTTAAGCTTGATTGTTGTCTGAGGTTGCGAGACAATTATTATAATTGCAGTGCCTAATGTGAACTATTTTGTAGGAATAAGCAAAAGGTTAATAATCCAATGTAGGGAGGAAGGGACGCTGTACAGCACACAGTGAAGAGCAGCATTTCTTCATGCATCTTTAGATATAATTAAGAACCAGGTCTTCTGGGTGAAGCTACGAAAACGTTACATTCATTATATCCATCTAACAGAAAGAATTCATACCGATAATAATCATTGTAACGTATTTATTGTTCGGTGTTTTATTTTAGGAGTCATCAAACTAAAATACTACGCATGCCCACCCCTATGAATCCTACGCATGCCCACCTGCGTGGGGACCTCATTGAAGTATACAAGTATACTCATGGCTTATACAAGGTCCCCGAAGGATTACTAGAATTTGAAACAAGAACCAACACCAGGGGCCACAGCTATAAACTAAAAAAACTGCGCTGCAACTTATCCACGAGACAACATTTCTTCTCGCTTCGAGTCACTGACACGTGGAACAGCCTCCCCGATGACATCGTTGGCGCTCCAAGTATGAACGCGTTCAAGAACAGACCAGAGAAGGCCTTGCAGGAGCAAATGTTTAGTATTGAAATGCCTCGTATCCTACGGAACAACTGAAATCTAGAAGCAATTTTAAATCTACCGTCAGTTGAAAAGATTTGATCAAAAGGCCAGTCTAGCCAAGAAAAGTACAAGAATCGGCGACAGGCCTATCCAGGCCTATTCTTCAATGCCGAAGATACTATACTATACCATACTATACTATACTATACTATACTATACTATACTATACTATACTATACTATACTATACTATACTATACTATACTATACTATACTATACTATACTATACTATACTATACTATACAATACTATACTATACTATACTATAGATCAATTCTAAATTATCACGTTAGATTAGAGATAGAATCCTCTGATTCACCTTAATATTTGGTGATACTATCCGACATGTGAACATTAATCCTTTAATTGTGGAAAGCTGTCCAAGGACGAAATAAAGGCCAGAATTAAGGAGTATAAGTGTCCAAGGACGAAATAAAGGCCAGAATTAAGGAGTATAAGTGTCCAAGGACAAAATAAAGGCCAGAATTAAGGAGTATCAGTGTCTAACTACAAAATGAAGGCCAGATTAAGGAAATCGGCGAACGGATTTAATATAACCTTGAGGATTTATTCTGGATTTTCTTCTCATGCAGGCTCGCATGGCATCTGTAGAGCTGAGCCTGTGACTAATTATGTTGATTTCTTATGCGTAGCAACGTTAAACAATAGACATATGCCAGAGTGAACCGTTTGTAAATGAGGTAAAAAATAATAAAAGGAGTTAAAACATTATTTCTGTATATTTATGTGAACTACTAAGGTCAGAAATAGAAAAAATTGCCTAAATGTTGTCAGTTATACTGCAACTAGACAACGTATCTCACACCTGGAAAAATACCAAAATTAAATCTGTTTACGCCGTTTCCCCAATTTTTGTTGCGTCTATTCATCTCCACATGAGCAGATCATTAATTTCCAAAGTAATTAGCAGTCTTAGATCCGCCCAACGCTTCTTATTATTAGCATTAAATAATTTTTGATCTCAAGAGTCAGGCAGATGCGGCCATTGCGAATACGACGCAAGTTGCATAAATTGTCTCTCGCTGAGCGTGGAATAACTTGGCGAGCTGCTTCATAATGACATTCTTTTCTTGACGCAGGAATTTCATATTTTTGCAAGAGCGATGCTGTTCCCTTTTCCTTCCTCGGCGGGTAGCGAGACTGGGCGGATGAGAAGGAGCTTAGTAATTAAATTCATAATTGTTCCATCGATTATCGATGCTGGAATAAAAGCTCGATTGCTCTATGCATTTGTTCCGAGAGCTTGACAAGCTGTCGATCTGAGTTGTCGGTGAGATCGTTTTGATGTCGTCGATGCGGTTCTTTTCTCGGCGACCTGAATTATCACGTAATGCAGAGATCTTTGTTTTAGAGACTCTTATTATTTGGTGCTTATTATGTTTTATTTGCTTGATGCATATCGTATATCTATTATTTACTCGGTGTAGACACTTTTATTCACTTGGTGTTTGGGATTTCGCCGTTTTTTTCGTTTGGGGGGGGGGGGGGAAATTATATGTCAGCGGTCTAAAAATACAGGGTAATTATTATTTGCAGAGGTAATTATGCTGACGTAAAGAACGGTATGTATGTATTTGCCATTTCCTTCAGTCAAGTTCCGTTCCGTTAATATTGCGTTCACAGAGAGTATCTTATCGGTGTGCCTATGCTGATTACATGTTATTGGCAGCTTTTTAAACGCAATCATATATCTAGCCTAAAATTATTTTTAGAATAGAAATAAAAATAGTATGTGGTTATATATTCTGTTTTAAATAAAGTATTAATAAAGACGCAAGTAACTTGAAATTGCTACATCTTTCTAAAATAGTTGCCACAATAAAAAGTATACAAAATGTAATCCGCCAATTCTGATCAGAAAATATAAGTAGCTTTGTGTTTCGGTTACGGGATGTACAAAATTATCATTTCGGCACGATAGTAAAAAGAATTGAACAAATAAATTACTACATTTTTGACGGTGAAGGCTTATAGTTGAAGCTTCAGTCACATTCACGACAATTCACTAAAATTCCAGCAGCTTACATGCTCATCGTTGCTGAGGCAATACCTCTTTTTGTGACAAACGTGGTGACACGAACGGTTTACTCTTATTGTGTTCGTCCTAAAAATAGATACAGACTAAACAATAATTTAGAGTATTCTTTTAAAATTGTTACCTGCTACTTTAGAACAGGCTATTTGCTTTCTGATTCTTCTTTGCACCTGCATTTTCAAGTTCATTGATGGGAATGAGCTGTCTGAGGTTCATTTGTTTTTGCAGTTTTAATTATGAGCAAATTGTTGAATTCTGCTTTGCCATTTATCCGAAAAACTTGTCAACGACCTTGTTCTCAAACGTTTACGAATTTCTAAATAATGTCATTCTCGTAAGCGTAAATTCGGCTAGTTGAAATAACCTATGCATTATACAATGTCCGTCTTAGAACCAACATAATTAAAATTACCAGCACGAGCAGAAGCACTACCAGACACACTGGAACTAACACCAGCCAATACCAGCAGCCAATAGTTCGCAGTACCAGCAGCCAATTTTTCACAGTACCAGCAGCCAATTGTTCGCAGTACCAGCAGCCAATTGTTCGCAGTACCAGCAGCCAATTGTTCGCAGTACCAGCAGCCAATAGTTCGCAGTACCAGCAGCCAATAGTTCGCATAAATAGCAGCTATTGCTCACAGTTCTCAATAACACACTCTGTGCTGTGGTTCAGTAACACTTTTCAAAGTACAGCCCTAGCGACAACAGCAGGGACACAATATTAAGAAGCACCAATAGCACAAAAACAATAAATCAATTTTTCAAGCAAATTTCGAAACGAAGCTTCGCCCTCATAGAGATTGACAAGCAAACAAATTCTTCCGTACGGTCTGATGTTAGAAGCAATTGAAGCAACGCTACGAAAAATTACGCCTTATCCCCTGAAATAATTTTTTTTTGTAAATTGAAACGCAGGGACCTCAGAATATAAGTGCATCTTTTAGTTTACAGGAGTGGTCTGTGGTATAAAAAGGTAATTCGAGACATGCAGGTGTAATTTGGAATATGAAGGAGTGATTCGAGTCATGCTGGTGTAATCTGGAATATGAGAAAATTAATTTGAAGTATATTGTTGGGACGAATAAAAGTTTTCATTCCATGTAGTAGTTATCGCATGAATAGAATAGGCTGGTATTTTCTTTATCTCACTAGCTGTCATTCGCAAGTGGCGGGACGAAAAAGGAAAGCTTGTACTGATCAATTTATTTACATATTTTACATATTATTTTCAATATTTACATATTTTCAAATGGAACAGGAAAAAATTAATATTTTCTTTCCCATTCTAAATTTAATCACCGTAAAATACATATTTCACATTTATTCAATCGATAGTAACCATTATTACGTGCTCTAAAATGATTGCATTATTATTATTATTTAATCACTAACAGTCAGTGTATGTACCAAGACTCCGAGGCATTTTTAAAGCTCACATGAGAAAGGCAACGAGAACACTTCGCTATCCTATAGCATTGTTCTAGCCAGAAAAATTCCAAGAAGAAACAACGAGTTTTGCTTGGTTTATCATTTAGGCAAATAGAATTCGAGGCAGGCAGAGGCTGCGACGCGGCACCTGTACGCCTTAGCTCCACTGCAGCGCCATCATGCCCAAGTAAGAGCTCGCTCAAGAGCCAGGCTCTTGATTCAAGTGTCGTTATC